CAGGTCAACAACCCAAATAGGGTCCTAAGTAAGGACCCTAACTCATACCTAGGCTATTCACTTTCAATGCCTATGTCAAGGTCCGGTCGACGACATCCTGATAATTCATGACATGCGAGTGTCCTGTCATTACCAAGCACAAGGGGTACTCCTTTTTGTGGCAGGACTTAGTTGGGTGATTAAAGATAAGGTGCAAAATAAACTAAGGGATAAAAGTGTCGCCGAAGAATTTGGGTTAGTTTTTGGTAATTAGAAATCTGGCGTAGGTGTGAGGAAATTAATTAATTAAGCCTACGGTAACAGCTGGGATATTTTCAAGCTGGAATTGTTTTTTATTTTAGGATATTGCTATAAATAATTCTTGTATTTAGTTTGAAGTTTCTTTTAAAATATTATTTAATTAATTTTGTAAAACTTGTTAAAATGTTAATACAAAAAATACATATCTTTGGATATCAAATCATTTTTAAGCATAATGTATTATACTTATTTAATATTTTCCTTGACCTTTTGAAACAAATCCCTGTTAAAATACCATCATACTCCTATACTTTCCGTAATCCTTAGACCAGACTGCTTACATTTATTTTGGAATTGTACCCACAACATGTATTTTTCAAATTGTAAACATGCCAATCCCCTGATTATGCAATTTCACACCTAATTAAATTCCTGGAAAAAATTCTATTTATGTTCCAGGGCTCAGACACTTGATAATTTCGAATGCAAGCTTGTTTTTCTTTCTTTCTTTTGTATTACATAATAACCAAACCTTTTGAAAATATTGCCGGGGAAACCAATCGCTTCCATTTGATTTAGTTTCTGATTTCATTTATTAGGCAAGAGTGCGAATGCCCTTAACCATTTTCTTGTGAAAATTCTGGGAAACTCATTAGTGCGGAAAAAAAATAAAAGCACACCTTTAAATCAGCTCCTCTTTCACATTTTCACAATAAAAAAACCCCAAAATAAAAAGGACTCTGGACTGTGTTAGTGAATAAAATGGAAAAGCAAGATAATGAAATATAAATTTGGCAGTCTCAAAGCGTGTGAAAACCAAAACATGTCGGCAGATTAGCAGGCGGATGGAGGACTTTTCCCGGAACTTACCCGTATTGTATAATTAAATACAAATTAGCAGGGAAACAGAAAAGTTTCTTTGGTTCGCACAACTGGGAATTAAAAACGTCTGGCTACGCAGACGAAACTTTTCAGATTAGTCTTAAAGCCCAGTCCCGAAAAACCACTTGATGCTGGGCATTACGTATACGCCTTGTTGGGCGGCAGTAGCTAGAGCTGGGAAAATAGGAAAATGCCGGATACTGTGGGGCGGAGAGAGGGTGGAAAACCGGGAAAACGCTTCATTAAGCACGCACAGTGTTGTCATGGACCGTTCGAGAGAGTGTTTGAGTTTTAAATCCAACTAATTAAAATCTACGCAGCAAAAACTTGGAGAAAACGTTCTCAGCATTGCTTTTCCTTTAGATTTGAATGAGTTGAGGTGAAGTAAGGTGAAATGAGCTTCTGTCTTAGTTTGGTTTGGCTTTCAAGGCCATTTCCAAGGATTTTTGCAACAATTTCAAACCAACAAACAGGGCATTGCGAACCTTAAAGACTTGCAATTATTTCTCAACCGAAAAATTCCTGATAATTACTGATGATGATGATTATAGATGAGCATTTCCAGGAATTGTAATTGAACTGGCAGACGTTGTTTGAATATTAAAATCAAAGACAGCTTTAAGCAGAAGCAATTATATACTTAATGGTTTATTTAATGAAGTCAAATACTTAAGGTATTTATATATAAAGAGAGAGTTGTAGGAATAATAGAAAACTATATATGGAAGTAAGGGGAATTTTAAAAATTTAAATATCATAATCCATTTATTTAATTCCCTGAAACCTCCAGTTGTTGTAAACATAATTCCCTGCTCCACATAAATCCAATGTAAACTACATATATCCCATAACTCATCTTTTGGCACGTGTCCTTTAACCAAGTCAGGAGCTTCTCCTGCATAAAACACACACTTGTTGGCCATTATCGAGGACCTGCCCATATCCGTAACTGAAGGACACTGGCAAGGAAAAAGAGCAAAAGGATATAATTGATATTTGATTGTTGTCACTTGTTGCTCCTTCTGCTGCAACTGTCTTTTTGTTTTGTTTTTGTATTATTTTTATTTTGCAATTTGTGCCATATTTTTCAAGTGCTTTGACATCCTGCGCTAATCGGCTGCCAGGGGAGTGTCCTTATAATTTATAGCATTGACCGTGACAATATTCAAGGACTCCGCCTCGAACATTTCCTTATATATATATATTTTGTTTTTTTTTTGTTTGTTTTCTGGTCCTGTCTGGGTCTGCGGCTCTTTCTGGAGGACAACGCAGAAAGTGTCCAATAAATGTTTCATAGTTGTCGGTGGCTGCTGACATTGTTGACCTTATCAAAAGCGCAAATACACTTTCACCCACACACACACACAGAAATCCTGAAAAATACCCACCCAACCACACCCACATGTGTGTAAAGAAATATATCCATGGGTGGCTATAAAAAACACACAAGCCGAGCATCTTTTGTTGAGTGTTCCTGATGCGTTTCGAAACAGGAATGCACATGGGAAAATGTTTAATTTAAATGTAATCTTTATATAATTTGAAAAAGGAGGAACACCATTTATCAAGTTTATAACGAGATATTTTTTTATTATAAATAATAAAACAAACCCCTTGAATAATTACAAACACGTTTAATGGTTTAGATATGAATTTGTTAAATTTCTTTATCTTTAATTTTGAATGGCATCATCTATTTTAAGAAAATTCTGAATTAAATTTATAGAAAATCTTTATAATCATTTATTTTCCAAGTGTCACTCCCCGTTTCCCATTTCCCTTGTCTCTTGTCCTTTTGTTTCGTCTAAAAATTTGCAATAATGCTAAGGAGTCTTTGGCCGAAATAAGAATGTGACTTGGTCTAGTCGGGGAATCTTTGCCCTGGGACAAATATTTGATGTGGGTTAGGGGGGCAAAAGCCAGCCACAACAGAATCAGGAATTCGGGGAGAATAAAGGTTATGTCAGTCATTCTTGGCAGACATATTGTCTCGGAAATAGGAGAACCGTAAAAACCAGATTCAAAGCATCTTTGGTACATTTTTTGAACCTGGAAATGAGGGAATATTGCTTACTGTGCTTTTTAAAATTTTTAAATAAGAATGAAATGTATTTTTGATAGGAATTTAAAGTCAACTTTGCACACCTGTTTAGATATCTAATTTTAATGCGAAGGCTATAAAGATTTTTATTGTATAATTAGGAATGTATTTGAAATGGTTTTGTACGATATATTTATATATTTAAATTTATGGTTCAATTCTATAGAATCAATAACAGAGAGCTTTAAAATATTTATGATAATCTATTAATAGTAATAAATAAATTCTATAAATTTATAAAATAAAATCTAAATGCAATATACTTCTTGTTTTTTGGTATCCCAAATTCCTAATCCCATCTATTTATACATTTTCCATCCCTAAAAATGTTATTATCTTTTGCAGACAATTGTTCATTGGCTCCACAATGAATGCCACCTCGCCAAAGTCATCTCTGGTCAAGTTGGGCCTGCATACAAACAAACAAAAGACGCTCAAGGTTATGGTCCTGGGTCAAAGTGGCGTGGGAAAAACGGGTGAGTTTCCACCAACCCCCCTTCGAGAAATGCCTTAAGAAACCCAAATTCAATGGACCTAACCCCTAACTTAGCCATGGTGGTGCGTTTTATTACCCGTCGCTTCATTGGGGAATATGATCCCAATTTGGAGAAGATATACACCTGCCAAACCACGCTGGACAAGGAGCAGATTCAGTTTGACATTCTGGATGCCACCGGTCAGCTGCAAGTGAGTGGAATGACTTTTTAAATATATTTAGATTCTATTCTGGTTAATATTCTTGACAGGAACTAGATGGAGTCAGCCTGGAGTCCAATATACGCTGGGCCGATGCCTTTATCCTCATGTACTCCATCACTGACAAGTGTTCCTTTGACGAGTGCAGTCGCCTAAAGTTCCTGATTAATTACAACAAGCGAAGACGCAAGCTGGGATCAGCCAGTAAAGTAAGTAATAATTATAAATCTTTAAGCTTTGAGTCCGTAATCTTAATTTTATATTTTTTATATTCTAGGACTATACTTTGGATATTCCTGTCATTTTGGTGGGCAATAAGACAGATCAGCCTGGAGATCGCATGGTAAGCTTGGAGGAGGGTCAGCGGCGGTTTAGGGAGTTATCCTGCGCCTGCTTTCATGAGATTTCTGTTAGAGAAAGTGTTGAACAGGTGGGTTTAATTAATAATTTAATAAAATATAAATTATAAATAAATTTTAATATTTTAATTAGGTCCAGAATGTTTTCCGCGATGTGTTCCGCTTTTGGCGAGTCTTTAGTAAATTCCCCAAGCTCAAGCGTTCCACCAGCGATGTGGCCAACACGGATGGCATTCTCACACCCGATTCGGGTTCCTGTTCCTTCTACGATGCCTCCTCTTTGGGTGCAGGTCGTCGTTCGTTCCTGGTCATTGGCAGTGCCTGTTTGGAGGAGAGCAGTGGAGATCATACCGAATCCACGGATGAGATAACCAGCAGCAGTTTGAGCAGTTCACGGAGTGACATCGATGCCCCCTTCCGGAGTCGAGCCTCGACGGATGGTACCCTCTTGTCGCGTCCTAGGAGGTGGCGGTATCCACCTCCAGGCTGCCTGTTGCCTCACACAATCGCGTGAGCGACGGATGAGCATTTCCACCAGGGGCAGCAATGCCAGCTATTAAGGGAAAGGGGTCATTATTAGTCAAGGGAGTAGGCTGAGCTTAGTTAGTCCAAATATAGCGACCAATATATAGCTAGATGTTATCATAGAAACCAAAGCTTGTTACTTTGTGGGGAACTTATTTACAATACTTTAAAATTGCTTCATTGGATAAATATATTTATTTGCGCGAACATTAACTATATAACATAAACAATCGGAAAATGGAGCATCCAGGGCTACATTTCCATCTAATCATCGTCAATTTTAAGCAGATACTCTTCGGCACGCAGGCCAGCTCTCGGATGTTCCGCAGGCAGCCGGCGGCGGCCAACTGGAGCTCCTTATTGGTGGAGCCAATGCACTCCAGCAGGAAGGGAACCACACCACTCTGCAAAAAGACAAAGAATATGAATATGTATATAAACTATGTATAATATAATATAAAGATAAAAATAAGGGAAGATTTCTTTTACACCAAAAACTCACCTGGTGCATGGTAATGCAGTTCTGCGGATCCATCGATAGTTTCTCCAGGGCCATGGCCGTGCTGCGATGCACCAAAGGATTATCGCTGGTCATGTAGGTGACTATGGGGGTCACAGTGCGCAGGCGTCCCAGCTCCTCGGTATTATTGCCAAAGCTGGCACAGGCGGCAACAGCAGCTGCCAGATTCATTCGCAGCAGATCATCCGTGGTCTGGACAAGGTCTGCCAGTTTGTAGATCACTCGGAGATCGCTCAGAATTGCCAGATTAGTGTGATCCTGGGCAATTGTGGCTATGGCTGCACACACGGCTGAGAGAACCATGATATCCTTGGACTTTAGCAAACCCACCACCAGTTCCATGGCTCCAACTAGACTCCTCACCAGTTCAGCGGAATCAGTGGCATTCCTGACACAGGGACATATGGCATAGGCGGCATGTGCTTGAACCCTGGTGCTGGTGTTCTTCAAAAGGACCAAATAAGTCGAACTGCATCGAGATCTTCTAGAATTCTCATGCTCTGCGGATCCTCGGCGCATTCCTTCAAGGCCTTGGCCAAATTCTCCAAGAGCGGAGCATGGGAACTGTTGAGCAGGGCCACCATGGATGGCAATCCTCCGGCCTGTCGCAGCTGCTCCCGGTTGCTCTGGAACCTCACGCATTCGGACAAGGCTCCTGTTACATTGGTCAGCACCTCATCGCATTCATCATTCAGCAAGGCTACCAAATGATTGACCGTCCTCAATTGATCCAAGACCTTGACATTGGCATCGGTCACAGCAGACATCCAAATGGCACCAGTGGCTCCCCTCAAGAGGGGCTTATTGTCCCTCATGTTCTTATCCTTTATGATCGTCACCAGGGGTTCCAATCCACCAGCTTCCCTCACCAATTCCCTGGTGTTGGCATCGAAGGCACACTTGTAGATCGCCGTACTGCCCTCCATCTTGAGTTCTGTATTCTCCGAACCCAAATGGGTGACAATATCGGGGATCATGCCCTCTGTGGTGATGGCCAACTGGAATTTCGGTTCCGAGGAGCACTTTCTCACTGTACCCATTATGGGGATAACAACATCAATGTGACAGGATTTAAGGAGCTGGGCCATTAGTGGGACAATACCACTCTTTCTCATCTGCTCCATGTTGTGCTTGGAATCGGCCAAAGTGAACAGGGCCCGGGCACCAGCTCGGGTCATGTCCAGGGACTCTAGATCATCGGCATTCAATTGATCACGCGGGGTCTTCAGAATGCTGGGTATATAATTTATAATAACAATTAAACTAATCAAGATGTCCTTAAAATCTCTAGAAGTTATGGCTAACTCACCTCAATTTAATGTCGATGAGGTCCACTAGCTTGGGATTCCCCCACAGGTGCGTACATATTTCCTCGCCAATCTCACCTTGCACACATTTGCCAGTGTTTCAGCAGCCATGGTCTTTAGATCCTTCATCGAAGAGTTCAGAATGTCCACTATCAATGGAATCCCATCGAGATCCACTATAGTCTTTCGTATATCAATGTTCAGGGTGATGTCGGAGAGGACCGTGAGGGCGCCCAAACAGCACTTGGTGTCGCTGCACTCCAGTATATTGACCAGGACATCGAGTCCACCGATGTCCGAGATGGCGAACTGATTGATCTGAGTGCTCAGATCGTAGTCCTTCAAGCAGCACAGCGATACTATAGTGGCTGTCTGATTGCCCGCCTTGATGTACTTCACCAGCTTCTGGATGTTGTAATAGTCTGCCGGAATTTCAGCGGCTCGTGCCACCTCCTTCCAGCGGTCCTCCTCATCCGTGTCGGACTCCACCTCGGTGGTATCCGAATCATCGGCCACCACCTGGCGCTTGTCCTTTGAGAAGCGATTTGGACATGACCACACTGTTCCGCACCTTTCGTCCGCGGTGCTGTGACCCATCGCTGCTCTTGGCAATCATCTCGATAGCCTTAAGGAGTCAGACTTGGTTTGTGAATTACCTGTCGTCGTCGTCGTTGGTATGCCAGGTCCTTTGGTTATGTATGGGAATTTGCCTGTGTTTTTGTATGAGAGATTTTGTGGGTTACTCAATTGATTTAACACGACGTGTTGCTGGGGTAACGAAACGGAAGTTTCAAAGGTAGGAGGCCTCTATTAGGGACATATCGATAAGTCCTGTTTTCCAGGATTATTAATACTCGTTTATGTGTTGTTATAAATTCTGCTATTTATTAAGAGTAAGATCAATGTTTATTTCGCTTTTTTGGTTCTTTAAAATGGGTTTTATATATTTTTAGAAGTATTTACAGATCTAATTTATCGTTTCTTGTATTTTTAATACAATTTATCCTTTGAATAAATAATTGTTAATACCTTATGAGAATAAATGACAGTAACATTTCTAAGACCACAATTTCTATACGAATTAAAACATAATTTTAATATGTACAAAAAACATCTTCCTAATCTTCTTATGATCCTCCTAAGGACCTACATAGCCTTGCCTTCTTTGGTATGAGTTCTACAGTGTCTCTGCAGGTTAGATCGATCTGAAAAGGATTGCGGACAGCGGGAGCAATGGTAAGACCTTTCTCCACTGTGCTTGCGAAAGTGCTTCTGAAGATGGGCTTGCTGGAAAAATGATCTCGGGCATTCAGAGCACGCAAAGGGTCGTTCGCCCGTGTGAATACGGATGTGAGCCAGTTGAGTGGATTTCTGTGCAAATGATTTTGGGCAGTGGGAACACTTGAAAGGCCGCTCCCCCGTATGCGTGTGGAGGTGTATCTTTAGAATATGCTTCTGTGTAAAGGACTTTGGACAATGTTCGCACTGAAATGGCCGTTCTCCAGTGTGAATCCGTATGTGTGTGGCTAATTGGTGTTTACGAATAAACGTTTTCTGGCACTGGGAACATTTGAAGGGACGTTCTGAACTGGAAGAAGAAGCGTTGTCTTCACTGGCACCTGTGCCTTCGGAGGGATTTGCTTCAACATGCTCTGCATCTGATGGTTCATTCTTTACTTGATCTGTGATCGATTGCTTAGGTTCTTCTTTCTCCAAGAAACAGATTTCAAATCCCTCCTTCTTCACTTGGTCGGATTCCTTGTCTACGTCTAGTATAACGCAAACCTTTTCCTTAATTTGACTAAAATAATGGTGACTTTTCTCAAAAGTCTGCTTGAATTCGTATGCATTTTGCGCATCCAGCACGCAAGGTCGGCATATGGTCTTTGGATAGGTTTGTCTGTGGGAGATGTAAATTCCAGTGCATTGGGAAATCATATTAGCAATCGAGGTGCTTGATCCTGGCGGTGTCCCAAATATATTGACCATTAATCTTTCATTTGCCATGCAAACTCGACATATTGCTCTGTAAATAATAAACAAAGCTGTAATCTTTTCCGCTAAATACAATAATTGCCTTTACTTACGTATCCATGTTATTGGTTTCGGTACTAGGGGGCTCCAAGGCAGGTGGTGGCAAACTCTCCATATTCTTCAAAATTAAATAGACTTGGTTTTAAGCGGCATGGAATTGCTGATTAAATTTTTGTTTTGTTTACGTTTTTAGATATGCGTTTCAATGTGACCGCATTGCGACGGGTTACTTATACCACTGCTTTTACAATTAGGGTAATTCCCCTTTTTGAAATTCTAGCGGGCTTTTTATATGAGTTCGCATGTGTTCTCTAAGAGCTACACTTCGAGTGAACGACTTGGGGCACTGGGAGCACTTATACGATCGATCTCCAGTGTGACTAACAATATGCCTTTTTAGGTCCATTTTCGTAGCAAAAGCCTCTGGGCAGTGGGAACACTTGTGTATCCGTTCTCCGTTATGAGTGAGCAAATGTGCTCTAAGGGTGAAAGCTGTAGAGAAAGACTTTGGACATTTGAAACAATTATGTCGAATTCCCAAATGTATCGCCATATGAACTTTCAGATTGCTGGCCGATGAAAAGGCCCTTGTGCAGTGGGAGCACTTGTACGGTCGTTCTCCAGTGTGCGTTGTAAGATGATATGTAAGCATATGTTTTGTGGCAAACTTTCTGTTACACTGGGAACACCTAAAGGGCTGTTGTCCCGTGTGCGTGAAAAGGTGCACCCTAAGGGCGGCATTTTCGGGAAAAGTCCTTTCACAGTGGAAGCACTTGTAGGGTCGTTCTCCTGTATGAATTCTCACATGTCGATCCAGTGTACTTTTGACTGCAAAAGAACTTGGGCATAGGGAACACTTGTACGGTCGTTCACCTGTGTGAGTTCTTAAATGCTTTGTAAGAGTGTCCTTTTTACTAAAAGTAAGCTGGCAATGAGAGCACTCGAACGGTCTTTCTCCAGTATGGATAGTCATGTGCACAGTAAGATAAGTTTTTCCAGTAAATGCCATTAGACACTGCGAGCACTTAAATGGTCGTTCTCCGGTGTGAGTTTTCAGGTGTCCTTCGAGTGCTCTCTTTTTCAGAAATGTCCTTTGACAGTGAGTACAAGCGTACGGTCGCTCTCCATTATGCTTACGCAGATGGGTTTGAAGATCTTCATTTGCCGAGTAGGACTTTGGGCACTGAGAACACTTGTAGGGTCGTCCTCCAAAATGCCTTTTGATGTGCACTTTGAGATATCTGTCATGGGCGAAAGTCTTTTGGCAGTGAGAACACTTGAACGAGTGGTTATCTTTGCTACATTTCCCATTGAAATCTTCCGATACATAATCTTCAGTGTTCTCAAGTTTGATTCGAGAGCATTGGTCCATGAATTCCTGATTCACATCAGAATTCTCCAATGGGTCTTCTTCAATTACCTCGTTCTTCACTTGGCACTCGAACTCATCTAGGGTGGACTCAATCTCTCATCCTTGACTGACATCACTTTGAGCTCAGATAAATCCTCCTTTCCTATCAAAATCTTTTGAAAATCACAGAAGAATTGGTGACTTCTCTCGTATGTCTGCTTTATATCGAAGGCATTTTGCCCATCCTGCAGACAAGTTGCACAAATGGTCTTTGGATAAGAATCTCCTGGAATATTGGGATAGCCAGTGGCCTCCCATAGCATATCCGCTATCGTCATTCCTGATTCTAGCTTGCTTTTGAATATGTTCAACATACCCCTTGATTTTCCCAAGCAAACTCGACATGTTGCCCTGACAGTACAAAATAATTATTATTAGTCTTTAATTATTAATAAACTACTCACAGATTCATGCTATTGATCTTCGTGTGGCAGTGCTCTAGGCGTCTCCTTCCAAAAGAGTCAGTTTCAGTCAGCTTAATATCAATCATTTAATCAAAAGTGTTGAAATAAGAATATTGACATTTGTTTACATTCTAGGAATGATGTTACCGTAGGTGGAAAGGTTAAAAATACTATATCAGAGCTTTAACAGTTGAGGCGTAACAGTGCTTACTAAATGTTAAGATCTAATCCTAAGAATTTAAAAAATATTTAATACATTGCCGGGGTTATTCAATAAAATAATTAAATTTTAAAATAATAAGGTTAATTTAATAGTTATAATTATGTATCAATTTAAATTGCAATGGCGTTCCGTAAAAACTAAAATATTCATCTAAAACAACAGCTTGAATGTTAATAGTGTGTTATGCTGATAACAGTGGCTTAAGTTCACCGTGGTATATTTTTCGGTATTTTTCATCTCATCTCCATGCCTTTTTTTAACGGTTCATATACGGTCACTCTGGTTGTTTGTTTTCTATTTTCAATCGCAGTTCGGAAGTTTGTTTTTTATTTTCGATTAAAATACGCCTACCGCGAAAAGCAGCAGCAGCTGAGCGCATTGTTTACGGAAATCAGTCGCCGAATTAATAATACAAACGAGTGAGAAAACAAAAAGGGAGATGGGAAATGCCAGCGGCAAGCGGGAGACCGATAATCTCTACACGTCGGATGAACTTCGTATGCTAGAATATGCCTACAGGAATGCGTCCGGCGGAGCTCTTGAAAAACTGACCCATGACAGGCTAATTGTAAGTCGAAGGACTCGAACTCCGAACTCCGCAAAGGGCCGCGTGTATGAGTGCGAAAATCAATGTGGACAGTGGAGGGTGCAACTGCGACAAAGGGTCAGGGTCGCTAGTTCAAGGCCGTGCAGAGTGAACTTCCCCGAAGAAAAAGAGAAATCACAAGGTCCAACATACGCGGCCGCCTGACAAATGACACTTCACCTGCTGGGCCAGAATACCCTCTACTAAGTGGGGTGTCTTGCTTTGGTCAGTCATGTGGCAAGCATTCAGTTACATAAATTATCTGTGAACTTTTATTATGGTTTGCTTAGGGTAAATGATACTTAAAGTCAGGCTATTAAAAAACATGTGTTTTTTAAATTTATTTATTTAATAAGACAGTTTCAATACAAATTGAATAATAAAACGATAGGTAAAAAGCTTAAATAACAAAAATAAAAAGTTATAATCAGAATATTATCATAATATTAGTTAAAAAGACAATTTTGTGATGCGTTTTTATATTTAATTAAAGTACATGTCAGGTTCAAAAGTGCCCATTCTTTTCATTATAAAACTACATATCATCGCAAAAATATCTATTATAACCCATCACATTCGTTGAAAATTAAACGAAATATATTTGTTTCTAACCAGATTATTTTCAAAGAGCAGCTATTTATAGATTAGGTTTCCTTAAACCTTATCCGCTAGGGTATTCAGAAACTCCGCACTCAGATAGGTATAACTGTTTCGTCCGCTTTCCTTGTTATCAGTTATGAATTGATAATTCCGGGCTGTGTGTTCGAGAACGTGTCCCACAAATTGTCTAATTTGTTTGCGGTCGCCTTTCGTTTTGTTTGTCTTTTGCTTTGTTGAATTTGCTTGCTAACGAATTAGTCGTGATTCCGATGACTGGGGTCGTCAATTAGGGCTGAGTCCAATTGAATTAAAAATTAACCCATTTATGGCCAAACTATGTATATTGTCTGGCAGGCCATCGAGTTTATTAATCAGTGCACAGGAAGAAACTAGTTGTACAGAAAATGATAAAATGCATTTACATTGTTTTAAAAATAATTAAATTGAATAAATAAAACTTTAAAGGGTACTTTGTAGATTTACAAAAAGTGCAGGTTCATAAAATTCAGCTTTTAATGGATTAATCTGTGTCAGCGCTTCCCAGACCTTCGGTGTTCCCTGCAAGAATTTGCTGACAGCAGCGAGAAAAATTGTGTTTACGTATCCGGTGCTGCGCAGTTTGTTTATTATTCTCTTTGCTTGTTGTTGTTGTTTTGAAAACAGGAAACTTGGTCGCAAACCATCGAACGATCGCTAGCTGAGAGTACGGCTCAATTTCTGTTTACACCGACAAAGCCGGGTCAGCAATGTATCAACATACCTCTGAAAAAATTCGGAGAGCCATACTATATCATGGAGCGTGGAACCATCGAGCAAAAGATGCAAATGCTTTTGGGTTCCCTGGAGAAAGGTGGAAATGACACCTTCAATTGCAAGCAATTGGAGCAAGTGAGTGTTATTTTGTTTAGTTACGTTACCATCAAAATAATGCATTTGTAATCCCTTTTTTAGTACATTTACTCGGTCCTCATGACCTACATTCACTTAGAGAGCACTTCCAAAACATCCGGCATCAAGGATTGGCAGGATCTTGGCTTTAATACCACAGAACGATCAGCATGCAGTTTTGCTAAGGGTCTGATGCGAAATCTGGGCAAGGAACTGGAGCATAATATGCCCAGTGAAGTTCTGGAACGTTGGCTGCATGTCACTCCACAGTTTTTGCAAATCTGGCGTGAGGTCTTCAATCAGTTGTATTCCCGCCATGGGGGCAGCAAACGCAATATAGTCAAGGAAGTGCAGATACCCATACTGCCAGAACTGTGTGGTAAGGATTTCTTATCTTTAAATGTTAACATAGATGTTTATTTAATTTATTTATATTTTCTAGATGCCCCGCAGAACAGTCATTATCGCCCAATCATCGAACTGCCGCATGTCCTGTATATCAATGCTCAATTGCCTCGTGAGCATCGCCACAAATGGCGCTTCCTATTCTCATCGAAAATCAATGGAGAAAGCTTTTCAACAATGCTGGGTAAAGTATTGGACAAGGGTCCCACGTTGTTCTTTATTGAGGACGAGGACCAATACATATTCGGCGGTTATGCGTCTGAATCTTGGTCACTGAAGCCACAATTTGGCGGCGATGACAACTCATTGCTGTACACCTTAAGCCCGGCCATGCGGTGCTTTACGGCATCAGGCTATAACGATCACTATCAGTATTTGAATTTGAATCAGCAGACAATGCCGAATGGTCTGGTGAGTAATAATGTTTATAAATAGTTGATTGATTGCTAATTGTTTATATGTATTTGCTATCCAGGGCATGGGCGGACAATTTGATTTCTGGGGTCTGTGGATTGACTGCATGTTTGGCGATGGACAGAGCGTTGAGAGCTGTACCACATTTAAAGATTATGTGCAGTTGAGGTGAGTTCTTAAGTTTAAATCCGGAGAATTCGTCATAATATTAATATTTTTGTTCCAAAGCAAACGTAAACAATTCAAAATACGAAACATGGAAGTGTGGGCCGTGGGAGACTTGCCCGTGAAAGATGAGGACGAAGAAGGTGGCGGCGAGGGTCAGGTAAACTTTTCTACATTAATATTAATTACATATGTTTTCTAAACCCCCAAATTCTCTTACAGAAACGCTCAGTGCTCGATAGCAATTTGGAAGATCGTGCCATGCTGGAAATTGCCGGCAAGAAAATGCATTCAGATGGATTACGCGAACCCGGCATGGACGATTGATATTATATGAAAATATTCAGAGCAATAACATGGTTCTATCATGTTCAAGAATTTACAATACCATGCCCGTTTTGGGTGTGCAGTTAAAATAATTCAATTTTTATTATTTTCCTTTAGTCCCTATAAAAAAACACACACACAAATCAAATCAAATCAACAAGTCCTGCGAACATACGAAAATGAGTATTTGTTCAATCCATTCCTATAATCGTTTTTGTTTAGCTATTAATATTTCTTAAATATTATATATACAATGTATAATGGATATAGTTTTTGTGTAATACTGAGAGTATTGTTGTTGCGTTTTTAAACAAGATCGAAAAGTGTGAAAATAAAATCATTTAAAAGATGGTAACTAATAAGCAAGCATAATAAGCAATGTTAAATTGTCGAATTTTTTCCCTTTTTATTCCTGCGTCAATAAAATGCAAAATATTTGCTGAATTCTAATTTATTTCAAAGATTTTTAAATATTTATAAGATTGTGACAACCAAATGGGAATGAAATTTGGACAAAAACAATTAAATTTCTCTAGAATGTAATTATCTATAATTTCTTCTTATGTTACAGTGCGTTCCAGAATATTGAGACAGTGTACACTTCATGTTCATTTACATTTTTAGCAATAATTGGTTGTGCTTTTTAAAGCAAAACAAATGTCTAATTTGGGAAGCCCAAAGAAATTGCTAACAGAAAAGAATAATATATTTATACTGTATCGAGTATTTAATAATTTTTTGTTCCATAATATCATGTTATTGTTTTTTCTACTTTGCATAACTATTCAGCTTTCTTTGGGATACATTTTCATTAATTTCGAATCCCAGGCAATTTCTATGGTCTTCCCAATAATTCTAAATAATATAGAAATAATAAACAAATAGTTAAATAGTTGGTGGGTATTTTTCTTTACAACTGTCTTTATAGTTCGAAACACACTGCACTATTTTTCATATAACATCTAATATTAATCTTTAAATTGATATCCATATAGGCTCTAAATATCCACGGCATATCCGGATAGTGTAACTCCCGGCGCAATCTCCTCCTCCACATAGGATCCAGCCTCCTCGAAAGATCTAGCATTGTTATTATCCTCAAAGCTGCGACCCACACTCGCCGGTGATTGTCTCAAGGTAGGTGCCCTATTCTGTTGGCCAAAGTTCCTGGCGATGCCATAGTTGCCCGATGATGAATTATATCCCTCATCGTCCTGGAATCGACGGCCAGTCGATCTTAATTTGGGCGCCTGGAATGTGTGCTGCTGATCGGTGTCCGATCCCCGACGATTGTTAAAGTCATAGGTGCTTGTCTCCGAACCCCTGGGATAGTTGGTCTTGCGCAGCATGGCCTTGAAGTTGAATGGTGGATCCTCCGAGTTCTGTTTAGGTAAATTAATATATTTTAATAATTAATAACCATTTTATATGACAGGATTTCCATACATCTCCATCGTTCCGTGCCATGTTCTGGAGTTCCCTCACCGGATCCGATGCATATGAGGATCGCTGCTGATAGTTGCGCTGCTGCTGGTTGGGATTATTGCGATTATAGTAATTGGAGGAAGGCATGGGTGGTGGTGGCGGTGGCGCCGCATATCCCTTCAAGGAGTTGCGTCTTGATCCTGAACGATGGACACCCCAGTTCTGGTTGCTGCTTTGATTGTAGTTGCTGCTGTAGCTGTTGTAGGCATTGTTGTAAGCATTCATGTTCCTCTGCATTTGGTTTCTGTCAAGATAACTATTTGCTTTTTATGTTTAAAAAATATTTATAAAAGTATAAACCTCCTTAGCTGCTGCGGATCCCGGAAGTAACTCTGATTGTATATATTATCGCTCTCGCCCATGCGATCCCAGTTGGTCTGACAAGCCTGCTCCTTTTTGTAAGCATTATAGGTCAAGGCACATGAAGTCATCGAGGGATTACGCTGCAGTGGACTATCCCAGGGCTCGTCATCCTCCTGCTGCTGCATCACAACTGATTGGGAAACGTTTGACGGGAAATGGAATTGGCTGGATCAACCATGTACTGAGTGTCGTAGAAGGGTATCTGGTCCAGACGGAAAGGCATCTTCTTAATGGGCACTGGAAGTGGTCCCAACTGCGATGAGTTTACCTCACGCATGTTAATCCTCTCAAAGGGCACTGCCCGAGTGCATTTGTTAAGTCCAGCCACCATTCTTTGGTTGTAGATGTGGACCTGATAATGAAAATATTAAGGGGTTTTTAATTATACATTATATTTCATAAATTATTAATAACTTAACTTATATTTCCACTCACTCACCTGTTGTGAAAGATTGACAAAGTCCTGGAAACGAGCGGCTCTGTAGTGCAGCAGAACCTGAAAGATGGACTTCTCGCGCCACTTCTTCGCAAATGGCCGGAGGAAGTCGGCAGTGTTCTCATTCAGCTTTCCGGTCTTCTCGTTGACCAATGGCGGCAGGCGGACCCGGTCGCGGAATCCCCGGTAGGCTGTGTGGGAAAATAGAAATGCAAAAAGGAAAATCCGTTAGAGTAACCCATTAAAAAGGCGGTCATGTGGTGGGTGGGTGGGTTGAACGGATGACAGGAATGGGAGGGATGTCACCTTAATTTAATTAAATTTTCATTTCTTTTCTACGCCTCACTTATAACTCATCTCTCTCCCGGCAGGTGCCGTCGATGTCAAGTGCTATGTCTTAGACTGCTATAAGCCGATTGGTTGCATCAGATACAGGAGGAGGAGGTGCAGGGTGGGAGCCACACTTGACACCACTAAGCGGCTTAAGTGGTTGCCGAGACCCTAGACTAGTTAGTTGTTTACTTTGTTGTTTTCATTTTCTAGATTTTATTGGTAGAATTAGTAGTAGTAGTAGTAGTAGTAGTTCGAGTAGTAGTAATTATCGATCGATATAGTGATATAGTGTGTGTATTAATGGTATATAGAGACTGGTGCCTATTCATCGGCGGAGGCCTGTTCGATCTTGGAAATTCGCACCGCCGCCAGAGCCTCGTCCATTCTAGCCTCAAGGAACGTCTCCTCGGCCTCCGAGGGCGTCTCACTTATGTCGATGTGCTCCTCATCGTATTCTTTAAGCCTATCCACCTGGGTTTTTTTACCTTTTTGTATTTTGCAAGCGGCCACATCATGATCCTGTCCCTTTTTGCCCACTATGAAATGGAGAAATTTCAATTAATTCCTCTAGTAATTTTTAAATTAATAATCTATACTTACATTTGAAGACCTTGCCACCTTTGACGCGTTTGCGGGCTAGTAGAGCTCGCATCATGGATTGCACTTTGATAACCTTCTTCACCTGCACCTCGTACGATCTTTAAGAGTATTGAGTTATATTTTCAGAGAGTCTATATGCATATTTGTATAATTAAATATTTACCTGGCCAAGTATTCGTCATTGTAGTAACGCAAAAACACCTTGGTCTTGCCTAAGGACCAACCTTCCATCTTGAGACGCAAAAAGAGAAGGCGGCAATTATCCTTGGTCATTTCCACGGGCTCATCAAAGTCAAAGGCCAGGAATTGATAGCTGGAAAGGTACATTTATGGTAATTATAGTTTTTTAAGCAAAAATACCAAGGATAAAGAAAGAAATATTATATAATGTATTGAAAACAATACATAAATTAAAACGCTTTTGAAAATCTCTAAAAATGTGTTAAAAATTATGAAGTAAATGTTTTGGATACCAAATATACTATACATATTTTCTGATTATTTATTTGGTACATTTCTTTAAGGGATTTCTATAGAACTCCATTAAAAACATATTTACAAATTATATTTTAATTAAGACTTGCAAATATTTAGGTGCAAGTTAATATAATTCTACTCACCGTCTCAGGAATTCCTCGAAAGGCAGCCGTGAGCTGAAGCCCTTTGGCGGGCAATGACCGTATCCAAGACTCCCAGGGCCTTCATCTGTTGCTGCACCACATCCGAGTGGAAGGCTCTTGGCCTGTACTCCAGATCAGCGCGAATGCAGCGAACAAAATGCACTCCAAGATTCGCATTCTGGCTAAGCATTTTGAGCAGAGTCAGGCAGGTGTAGCGGAAGTTGGCCGCCAAGTCCTTAGATTATTCACCTGGGATATGCAGCCGGCACTCAAAGTATTTAGAGCCTAAAAAACATAAATAAATATACAATATTTAAATTAATTTAAATCTTTTATAAGTAGTTAATATTCATTGAATGTAATCTTACATATGACCGCCTTTCGGTCTCATCTTATGCTGCACTGCCTCAAAGGGCATGGTTAGATTACCAGCCTTGGTCAATTGATTGGTGAACATGAGCATGATGCTCTCGTCCAGCGAGGAGCGGAACGTCTCGATCATTTCCGGTGGCACAAAGTCCCGGTTGATGTCGGTGAAGGCGCGCGTATCGTAAATGATGCGGCCCGTATAATGAGCCACGGATATCTCAGTGGCAGTGTGCTTCTTCACAAACTGGCTGTGTTTCTCCGAAACGCGATCTATTTTGTATAAACTCGAGAGTTAAATTATTTGAATTATTAATTAAAACTATAAACCCACCCATAATCAAGTCCTGGTCTTGGCAAGAGCGTGAGGCATCGTCAATAATGTAAACAACCATCCGGCTTGGTTAGCAAGTTATCCAAAGCGGTTTTGTTGTCATAGAAATTCAGGTTAACTGTGTCTATATCCTCAGCCTCCATTTCCAGCATCTCACTGATAAATATACGTTGATTATAATGGTATTGCATCTGCTCGTTCAGTGTGTTAATCATCAGTTGCTCCAAACCATTCCGATTGAAACACTCAAAGCCAAACATGTCATGGATAATAATGGCATTGGTGTCGCCACTGGAAAGTGTAAATTATATTATATTTTATTACGTTTTTATAATTAAGAAATACTTACAAAACAGCCCTGGGGAAGGACATGTTCATGTTGATCCTATTGATAATAAAGTCCACCAATCGGGAGTAAATGGTGCTGGCCACTGCATCGCGTGCATCCCTGGCTTCCTCTGTGGTATATTGTCGCCTTTCGGCGATGCCTCCCTTGACCATAATGAAATTGGTCAAGGACCACATGAACTTCTTCTCATCCACGCGCAAAAGTTCGGCAATTCGGGACACAATATCCGTATTCTCCACTTCTGCGTACTTGCCATTCTGCCGGAAACGGATGTTACCAATATTCAAGATGGCCGACAGCACCTTGCGAACGGTTTCCAATTGCTTGTGATTAAAGTCCAAGTCCCGCAGGATGTCCTCGAACTCCCGGAAGCGTTCCACATTTCCCTCGGGATCATCGCGACGATACTTCAGTTTCGATGGCGGAGCTTCTGGCGGAACGCGCAAGTAACGATAGTTACGATCAGCTTTCAGATTATATTCCTTGAGCTGATTCTGCTGATTGATAAGTCATAGAAATAGTAGAAAATGTGGAAGTTGTGCTGGTTGCCATCGGTGGTGGCCACCCGCAGCTTTTCCAGCATATACATATTAAAGACAGCTCCACTCATTTTGCCAGTTTTTCCAAAAGTCAAGCAATATTGAAGGACACAACGGGTGGAGTCATTGTTCACCGGTGTGCCGGCATTTACCAACATTATGATGGCCTTGATGGAACTCTCCACGCGTCCCGTGGCTCCTCGGTTGCCATCGCCCAGGTAGCACAGGTGCTTAATCAACAGTCGAGCATTGGTGGACTTGCCCGAGTAGCTCTCACCTGAGAGCACTATATGCTGTGGCTCCTTGTGGTGCAACATGTCCTGGTAAGCTATATCAGCCACCGAGAAAATATGTGGTTGGTTCTCTGAACGGGATTTGAAGCGATACTTGGCATGGAACTATAGAAAATAAAATATAGAATATCTTAAAGAATCAAGTTTATAAATATTAATGATCTCACCTCCTGGGGAAACTCGTGCTTATTTCATTCGAATTTAACGACAGCAATATATCTCCAATAAAACTGTAGGACTCTCCCATCATAATGCGATGTCGCAGTGATTCGATAATGCTATCATCCACTGGATTTTCCAGAGCAGCCAAATCCTCTGGATACATTCTCTCTGGCTTCTCATCGAATCTCTTCACATAACCACGATCCACAAATAATTCCGGCTCTTTATACAAACTCTTCACATCCCGGGAGAGTTCCAGCATCTCGGAGATATCCGATCTCATCTCATCCTCGTTCTCAATGAGTTCGGTGAGAAAAGGATGCTCTACCATCTCCACCATCATGGGACGATTCTCGGCGTTCTTCTCCAGACACTCGGAGATGAAATCATTGATCTGCTGCGACCAGTTGGTGGGCCGCATTAAAGTCGGCGGTGGATTCCTTATGATCTGGAACATGGCCCTAGTGGGATGCATATCGGCAAATGGAGGTTTGCCATCCGCCAGCTCAATGGTGGTGATACCCAGAGCCCAAACATCAGCACGGACAGTGATATCCGGTTCACGAGATTCCATAGCAGCCACCACTTCCGGTGCCATCCAACAGGGAGAACCTATGCAGGTGCCCCTCTTACCCATAGTGGAGTCCACCTGACGTGATAATCCAAAGTCGCACAGCTTCACGCGTCCATTTTTGGTCAACAAGATGTTATCGCCCCTTATGTCCCGATGCAGGACATGATTGCGATTGAGTTCGATGGCTGCACGGCAAGTCTCCCGAATGATATAGGCAATGTGCTCCTCTCGCATACGACGATCCAGTTTTAGGAGTTTATTTACCATATCCACAGCTGTTCCGCCAGAGCAGTACTGGGAAATAATATTTAAAAATGCAAATTTATTACTAAATACGAAAGAATAAATAGAACTTTGTAATTTAAACTTATACCATAGAAATGATTAACACCTATTTGATTTGAAGTGCAAGATCAAATAAATTAAAATAGAAAATAAATAAAAGAGCCACGAAAGTTGTTATACAAATACTCTAGGGTTTTCAAACTCTTAAAAAAGGATCTGAAATTATGTAGCTTAACTTTTTGGGTACCAAAGTCATGACAAATTAGTTTATTATGGTTTTAATAATATAAATGTTGCCATTTTCCTTGTGGTAATTTTATTTTAACAAGTCCCAACTTATTAAATCATAAACAAATTTCAAAACGGTTCTTTCTAATAAAAATTAAAAATTCTTAAAATACTTAAAGTGTTCTCTTCCATAATTAACTCACCTCCATAACAAACCAAATCTCATCTGGTCCATTTGGTTTCGATAGCTTGTAAACTCCATAAAACTCGGGAAGATTTGGATGGGTGCAGTAATCCCGTAGAGTTCGATATTCCTCCTCGATGGACACTTGGTGTTCCTCATCGTAATGCTGGATTTTCAGAGCCACAACACGATCATTATCCAGTTCCTTGGCCCTGAATACCTTGGCATTCACTCCTTGGGCTATTTCCTCATAGATCTCGAATTTATCCGTGGGATCCGGCAGTTGGGAGTACGGCAAATATCCTGACATCCTGACTTTCAGTTGGTTATCCTGAACGTTCAAAGAATATGTTCCTGAGATTTAAATAGGTCAATTGTCAACGAAATTTTCTTTTAGTTTTATTTCCACAAACCAAATGCAAATTGCATTATGTTGGTTAATACCAAAGACAATTTGCATAACCCATTTGGTAATGCATTTAAGGGGTTTCACTTATGGTTACGAAAGAGGCCAAAGAGGGCTTAGGTTTAAAGAGTTCTTGAGAAAAATGATTTGTAATTCAGGAAACAAAGCTGAAACTTTATTAATATATATTTAAAGTGTTTAAAATCAGTTCTTGAGGATCAGGACTCCTTGGATATTATTTGCATTAGTTCTTGTCACTAAACTTTTCAATTGTACTTTAATCCGTTACACAGTTCGTTTGATCACTTAATTCCCATCCTTAAGGACACACCTGTGATTTTCCAGAATGTCACACTTGTATCTGAATTTTTTTAAAAGATATTTTTATATATTTGTGAATTTCCGAACCGACCGTACGCATGCAGCACGTACCGCTGCCGTTAGCCAACTAAATGATGGCCCAATGCAGTTGATGGCTTTTCACTTGGCAAGGAAGGAAGCCATTCAATGGGCAGTACCTGGACCCACACCTTGGGCAACAATTTAGCTGGCTAATTCAATTAGCAGCTGCGACATTCACGTGCCAGAGCAGAGTGCAGCGCAGGTGAGTGAAAAATAAATAAATTGCAACATAGCAAGTGGGAAAAGAATGAAAGTCAGCTGATTGACAGACTAATTATGCATCTTATTGTTCGTATTTACAAAATATATTTATACGTATGGGAGATTGCTAAACTAGGCATTGCATTTACACACTTTTATTGTTGTTATTATTGATGGCTGCCCTATTGCATATATTATGTAATGGTTTCGATTTGTATTTTTTTGTTTTAATACTGATTGCTGTGATTTCTGTGTGTGTTTGTGGATGTGTTGTGTTAAGATTGAAGAAAAGTCTTTTCTTATGCGTCCATTCGATCCATCCTCTCAATTGCATATACTAATCCACTCCTCCACGTGGCACTCCTCGCACTCCACACTACAGCACCATTGAAATTTACAGTGACACCGCTCCGCCCGCCGCTCGATCACCTGGCTGTGGCCACGCCCACAGCAGAGGGAGGCGCATCCATCACTGGTCGTGGTATTACGATTACATTTTCGACCCACGGTGCCTGGAAATGAAAAGGAAATTCATCGAAATTATAATAATAAATTAGGAAATTTTATTTATTTTGAAGAAGTATGTATTTTACATAAAGTGGTAAATATTTTTATGGTTTTTATTGATATTATACAATAAAAAGTAATACAAAAATATATATTATACTTATTAAATGAATTTATTTAAGATTAATAGAGATAGCATGGATTTTCCCATAACTAATTTTGCTAACGTGTCGTATACTTAATATGCGTATACTTAATTTTATATAATAAACATACTGGTATAACGAGTACAGTTGATACAAATATTAAATAACATAACAAAATTATAATAATAATAATATATAATAAAATATAAAATAGAAACTTGAATTGGTGTTCAATTAAAATACAGAAACTGGCCAGGTAAATATTTTCTATAGGGTTTATTGATATTATACCTTAAATAAATAATACAAAAATTACTGTTATGCGTCCATTATTTTAATATTATTATAATATAAGTTTCCTTAAGATTTATTGTATTTTTTTATTTTAGATTTTGCCAACGTGTCGTATAACTAACTTTACGCACGTAAAGTATACGACACGTTGGCAAATTAACGTGGGTAAATTAAGTATACGACACGTTGACAAATTTAAAATCTAAAAATACAATAGATCTTATGGAAACTTATATTAATTGATATATATATTATATTAACTTTAAGCGCGTTTAGTATACGACACGTTGGCAAAATTAAGAAATTTTAAGTACTTAACGTTATATATTAAAAGTATAACCATTACGGATTAGTGGATATAAAAGTTAATTAAAATATTAAATTTAAATACCTAAATAAACCGTTTTTTTTTTTTATTTGCCATATTTATATAACTTAATCAAATCATGTCAATTTAAATAATCTCGCCTGCCATAAATGGCATCTAACCTCTTCCCATTGGAGGACACACGTGGCCTGCCGGCTATTAAAAGACCATAAATAAACTATTAAACTAAAGCATAAACAAAGTATCATAATTGTTAGGCCAACGATAATTGCCAGCGTTAATTGCCATCATTTGCCTAGACACGACACCGGACACGGGGCACATGAATCAAAACGCCCGATGGGCTGGTCCCCAAGTTGCAGCTGGAGCTGGGAGCTGGAGATCAGAGGCTGGACCTACCGGGCTAAGCTCCGGGGCGATTAATTATAAATTTGCGTCGTAATTAACACTTTTAAACTGCTGCCAGTCGCCAGAGCAGCAACAGCAGCAGCGTCGGCTCTTGATAATTTGCAAATGTGTCAACAGCAAAATGGCTAACGAAAATTGCAAGTGGCAGTTAGACAGCGATGTCGATGTGGACGTGCCGCAGTTCAAGCCGATCCCAAAAAATACAGAGGCGGTGGCAGAAGGGGGCTTAATGGAGATTAGTTATAATTTTAATACATTTATTTAAAGCATCATTTTGTTTACTTTGTTTACTCCTATTATCATGTGATTTTATGATTTCGCAATAATTCCTTGCTGGGATTTATATTTTTAGTTAAAAATTGTAACGCAGTGAAGGTCATTTCCGATCATAAAAGTATATATATTCTTGATCTAGTCGATCGAGCCAAGTCCGTCTGTCCATTTGTTTGTCCGCTTCTACGAAAACTATTCTCTCTGTCTCTCTTCTCCCTATATCGGTTGCTTTTTCTGCCTCTAACTATATCACTCTGGCTCTCACTCTCTTGTTATCAATACCAATTTCGGTATGTCGGTCTCTCTTTATGTAGTTCTAGAGGTAGCTCTTTCCCTCTCGCTCTCTCGCTCTCACTTTCTCTGTTTCTCTTCACTCTGGGACTATAAATAGAGGCACTGCAGTCTCGCTGACCTCATTCTGTTCGTGGCCGGCCTCCTGTTTACATCGATGGTGATAGTGAATGTGATAGTGACTCGACTCCAAAAATATTACCAGGCCAAGGCAATACATTTGGATAACCAGGAAGAAGCCATGAATACCAGGAAAAGCCCTATTGATGTCACCAAGAATATAAACCTAAACTGGAAGGAATTAAGAACTGAAGAAAAGGGATAACCGTGCGGTAAGTCTTAAACAATTATATTATATGCATATGTATATTATATATGTAGATGCCATAAGAGGGATCAGGCTTAGGTCTAGAATCAGCTGTTATTGCTAGGCTTTTATTTTAAATTTAATTCCCTTATTGCCAAGGAACCCAGTATTTAATTTTAAAATAAAGTGATACAGCAATTTGTATTAAGGTTATCAATAAAAGTAAACTCAAAGTTACAAGCCTAACCTATTTAAAAATTATTTAAGAATAATGAATTCCTAATAGTTTAAAACAGGCCTATAAAAACTAGCATATAAAAACTTAGTTCTGATATTAAAAACACTTTGATTTACACAAATATTTAGAATGTAATAATATCAACTTAATATATTTATCTATCTTGTAGGTATACGAAGGTCAAAAAGCAAATTAATATGTGCAATCAATATTTGATGAATATTTCAACAACTTAAAATAATAAATTATATGTTTTACCACAAAAATCAAAGACAAACTGGAATTAGTAAGTAAAATGTTAATAATAAATAGTCATAAGAAACCCCTCTTTAAATTTTTTATTCGTTTGCCTCTGCTTTAAAAAAAAACACTTGGATTATAGCTGATCCGACTGAATCCAATCCAATCCGATCCGAGCTGAGCTAAGCTGAGCTGAGCTGCTGTGCGCATGCGTCGCTATCGCATTTTTTTTTCGTGAATTATGTGGCATGTTTGGTAGCCCGTTTAAAAATCGTTTTTATTTTTGCCTCTTTACCCCTTGTTGCATTTTTTTTTCGTTGACTGCTGCTGCTTTTGCTGTTAATTTGCATTTGTGATTTATTTATTAGAGGTAAATCAAATTTATCGCTGCGATATAATCAGTAAATCATTTTTAATTAGTTGCACTGAATTTCTTAATGACACTATTGTAAATTAACTTATTGGGTAATGGTTGGAAGTTGTAAGTGTTGTTGGATTTATTTTGTTTAATATTATAGGAAAGGGAACATATATATGTATATAAGAAAATCTTTTAAAGCTTGGAGCAATTTGTATAGAAAATATTAAACATAATATATAATGAAAGGAAATATAATATTCCATACTAAAAAACTAATGAAAATTTGTTGTTTTTACAAATATTATTAAAAAATAAATCTATAATAAATATATTATCTTTTACGTACCCTGTATATCTGCTCCCAGATCCCGTTCACAAAAATTTGGTGATCTTTGATAATAGAACAGCGAGGTCTCCAGCTTTCGGGCCATCCTGGCAGCATTCTTATCAGAATTTGGCTGCCGATTTCCTCGCTCCACGCCGACACCTTCATGGCGTCGCGTTAATTCCGAATCCCCAGCTCCGCCTCCATCCAGTGCCCCGAAGCATCTATGGCATCCAGATCGGTGGACAAGGATCCCGAGCCACTGCCTCCATTAGACTTCTTATTTCGCGCTCTTTTTAAGACAACTACTGGCTCTCCATTACCCAAATTCGATTGATCCACAAGTATGGCCTTGCGAAACTGATGCTTCAGCACTTTGCCCACAATGTGAAAGTCGGGGGCGGATTTCCAGCAGGTTTTCAGCTGACAGCTGCCGGACATGCCATGGCATTTGCAACGGAACTCCATGTTGTTGGAAACGGACTGGGAACAAAGATAAAAATTAAGATAATTAAGTGATTTGAATTTTAGGGAAGAGGATAACTCACTATCCTGCCGGCATGATTGTTGTGCAGATTGATCTTGGACTGTATGTCGCCGGCCTTTTCGCGGCAGTCAAGAAACAACTTGGAGTACTCCACCCCAAAGTCCATGTTGTGGGAGCAGCCGCCCCATTTCCAGCGACTGGCGATCTTGGATCTTTCGTACTTCTTCTCCTCCTCGGGCGTGAGGATCTGGTTGGTCTCCAAGTACTGGAGAAACTGTTTCTTCTCCTTGTCGAGCGACTGGCGCAGGTTCTTGTTCAACGTTTTGCGATTAATGGTGGGATCACAGCCGCAGGACATCAAACGGCCTTGACTGCAGGCCCGGGCCACACTGTGGGCCACACCGGCGGCTGAGATGGCGAAGGCGAATGCACTTTCCCGGTAGCCTGGAATGCAAGGAAGTGCCAGGTGAGGTGAGGTTTATGGTAGATTGGAATGGCTAAAGAAGAATCAGTATCCAGCCCCTGGGAATCATTGGCAACTACTACTGAAATTTATGCGGTGTTATTTTTAACGCTGCATTCGAAACAGGCAAGCGACTGTTGCCCTGGGAATTCAGCGGCATTTCAGCTTTGACAACAACTCAACGCAAAGAGACTGTGGCAAAACCATTTTTAATGATGCAGTGTACACACCCACCCAAGGCTGACGAGCACTGGCGAAAAATTGAAGGGGTTTTTGAGTTAAAAGAAATGGTAAATATTACTGAAAAGATTGCCTAAGATCATGGGAAGATGTTACTCTTTCCATTATATAAAATAATTGTTTCTTGGAGAATTAAGCTCTTTTTTTGTAGGTAGAAAAGTGCATCAGATTGTTTAGACACTCTGTTTCTATTCTACCACAAAAGAATACATCTCAATAGAGATATAATTAATCATTAATTAAGTAAACATAGATAAGAACTATAGAATTCATTCCAGAACCTATGTAATACAGATAAAAAATCTTGTTTAGAATTCTTAAAGTGTATTATTTGAAAAGCCTTATGCAGCAGCTGTCAAATGGCTGTCAAAAATGCTGACGTTAATCATAGCCGACAGTGGCCGTGAGTGGCCCAAAGTTGGCAACATTTGTCAATCGATTGACATGCAAATGGTCAGCGCCACTTTGCATAAGGCCAAAAGCGCTGAGAGAGATCTCCGCATCGGCGACAGTACATATGTCAATGTGACAGGCTTGCATCATTCTGTTGCTGGGGTCGGCCATCGGAGGAGCCATCGGGAGTCACTCCTGTCAAACAATCAGTCAGTCCGTCAAGTTGGCCAGTCTCTGTCACTCAGGATGCGCACGAATGCAAATGTCAATGTTGTGACAAGTTGTCCAGCGATCCGATCCGGTGATCCATCGATCCGTGGATCGTTTGTGCAAGTGTAATGGAAAATTGTGTGTGTAGCGCGCATTTGATTGACGATTAAGACGCCATCAATCAAGGCATCAGTAGCAAACGAACAGCAGCAGCAGCCCCACCCCATATCCACTCCCCCTTTTTGTTTTTCCCGGTGATCAGTGATCACAGATCGGTGATTGCTGATCGCTGATCACCGATCTGGGGTCTTGATTTATGCACGCTTTGTTCGTCTGGCTGTCCGATCGCAGGCCATTTGCAAATCCAAATCACATCATTGCCAACAGTTACATTTGACAATGCCTTTGGGGTACCTTCGGATCTCGCAATTCCCGCAAATCCCGCGATCTCTCTCACCGCCTTGCGCATAAATTGGCCCCAAAGCCCCGACTTGGCGACCTGTCTCGGATCTCAGTCGGAGAGATGCCCAGATCCCCAGATCCCAGCTTCCAGCTTCCAGCTCCCAGCTCCCAGTCCCCTGACTCCTCCTGTCTTGTGTGTGTTGCAATCCCAAGTAATTGTTTGCGACATACGTCGCTCGCTTGTTGTCACATGCGGAGAGAGAGGAGCAAGAGAAGTTCGGCAATAAAGGTCGATCTTCAATGGCACACACTTGAAAAATCTATATAAAAGTATTTATATTTAAATAACTTAAATTTCTGGTATAAAAAGTTATATATTAGCCACATGAATCTACATAAAACTATTGAAGTTAGAGTGAGATCACATTGTGTCAATTCAAAATAAAAGCAGTTTTAGCATAAAGAAAACAAATTTGTATTAAACCTCTTGTATCAAAAACTGATAATAATTTAATTTAATTTAATATAATTGTTCATCAATTTTAAATGTTTTTTAATTCTTATTTTCTGGCTAAAACTTTTCAATCAAGCGAAATAATATTTACAGACCTATCTCTCAGAAATTATAATACAATTTTATGTGTTTATTATGTATGTATAAAATATAAGGATTTTTATTTATAATTATAAATCAGGATAGAAGTTTAATCGTGTTACAAAACGTTTAAATTATATTAAGGTTTACTTGATTCTTTAAAAAGCTATAGTTCTGAATAATCAATTAGGTTGATTACATTCTTGCCAGCTTAGAAAAGTTGAAGCTAAATATTTATTCAATTTCTTTGCATTTTATATCAAAACATGAGTTTAAAATAATCTAATTTAAGCAGAGATTATAGTTTTAATAATTCAAAGATCTATAATTTTCCCTGTGTAGGTAATCCTTTAGGAAAGATCTCCTCTCGCGCTCCACTTGATTGACAATAATGCATGGTAGCAGCAGCAGCAGCATCAGCAGCGGCAGCAATCGATGGAGGAGCAGCGGGAAAAGCAAAACCCAAGCCAAGATCAGCGATCTGCAACGACGATCGACGATCGACGAGTTCCATAAGTTATAGTAGATGTATGCAAAATAGTTGACCTGTCCGTGCGCCGTTTCGATTGTCAGTCATTGTGCGACTCTCGGCGGCCGGGCGACTTGATTTGTTTCGTTTCACTTGGTCGCTCCGATCGCTTGGATCGCTTGGGCCCCCGATCTTGAAGTCCCACATGTCCCATGTCCCGTGTCCAGTGTCTCTGTCCATCCACCAGCGACCATCGAATCGATCCCTGACTTTGTGGCTGCCTTTCTGCCCTTATAAGTCGTCTTCGTCTTGGCCGCACCGCGCTCACTGCACGCGTTGCTGTTGGCCTGTCAATATTGACTCTCGTTATGTGCAGTTCCTTCCTTATTTAATGGACGCACGAACGGAGCGGGTTGACAAACGGACAACGAGACCGGGAGACGGACGGACGATCCTCGGACATGTCAGTGACATAAGCTTGGGTTTACCATATTGGCTGAAGGCTAGTCGAGAGTTACTTGGAAGTGCTGAGCGTTGCTGCTGCTGCTGTTGCTGCTGCTGGCGCTGTTGCTGTTGCTGCTGTTGCTGCTGTGCTGTTGCGCTGCTGCTGTTGCTGCTGGTGTGGCATGCATTGGGAGATTTATGGCTCGGCATTGTCTTTTCGGCAATGTTGTTAACTTTAACCCGCCGTTTTGGCATTTGCCTCTGATCCAATGCCCTGTCGCCCCCAGTGAATGCAAATAATATGCACAAAATTTGGTGTAATGGAATGATTTGGTCACAGATTTTTTGATTTCGTCATAAATATAGGTAATCATTGCAGGTTTTAACATTAAATATATAGAACTTGTAATTGCAATTAGGAGTTTTTGTTTCCTTTTTCCTATTTTTTACCGATATACAATCAAAATCAAAGTTCTTCTTAAAGATAAATAGAACTACAAATTATTAAAATAATAACAACCTATTTTAAACTCTGTTAATCCCATTTTTAAAGACATTTTTGGAAAACAGAAACCTTGCTGATAATCACATCAGTGAATCAATGACAATGACAATGTTGAAGCTCTGTTCCAATGTCCAATTTCAAGACCAATTCCAAGTTCCAGCTTAAACCCAAGTCTCAGCTTAAGACCAAGTCCAAGACCAATTCCACAGGCTCACATCCCAATGGCCATTCCCAGGACTGTCCCGTCCTGTCGTCTCCTCTCGAAAAAGCATTCGTTTGTCTGGTCTGTTCGTTGTCAGCGGTGCGGCAGCATCCGTCAACGGAGATAACAATTTTTTAAATTGAAATTGAATGAAGTGGTTTGCTTACAATATAATTTATACGATGAATGCAAATAAATTACGCCGTTCAAGAGAGAGGAGAGAGAGAGAGAGACGAAAACGAGATGAGACCCCTGGCCTTTCCCTTTTTTTTCGCTACTGTTTTCTGGCTTGTCGCTTGTCGCATTGAAATTTGTGAGAAATCTCCCTGGCCGAACATCTCCCGGCTATATATCGTTTGCATCTGGATTGCAATGCCGCCATTTTGCGCATTTCCATTGTTTCCATTTGCCTTGGAAAGACCCCCCCACACCTTTTCCAGGTTTCCTCAGCTCCATTGGTTTTGGCATTTTTACAGCAATCGTATGATGCATAATTTAACTAATGAAGCATTCTGGTTAAAAGTCTGGCTTTTATTCCCATAAGATGAGGACTGGGCGAGTGTTTGACCAAATTAGTGGGTAATTGAGTGCGGATTTATTTCTTGGAATGAAGGATATATATATATATATAATTGGAAAGAAGATTACTTTAAACTGGGAATTACAGGATAAAGTATATAAATAGGTGTAGATTTCGTAGAACTTAAATATATAATATGAATAAAGGTATAATTAAATGAAAAGTACTTTTAAAATTATTGAATTTAATCAGTATTTTGTTTTTTAAATAATTCATTTAAAAGCATTAAATCCCTGATTATCATTTAAAGATATTTTTCATTCAAGTCACATGTTTTAAATATAAATAAACAAATGACTATCTTATATTTATAGTATCTTTTCATTATACTTTGCTCCTAATAGTTAACTTTAGCTCAGAAATCATTACATATTTAGTCTAAAGACTTTATATATCCTGCATTAATTTCCCTCTTAGCAATCCCCATTAAATCCATGACTCACACATGCATTAGACAACGGGAAAATAGGAAGCTTTTCATTTCAACGGAAAAACCCTTGATCGGCGCCTGTGATCACAGTTACCGCTACTTGTTGTCCGCCACAAAAGAGGCTTTAGAATGCGGCTCCTCTTTGTGGGATATTATATTATATAGTACTTAGAAGGAGCAGTATTTAGAGGAAAGAGTGTGTGCGATCTATCCATCATAAGGCACACGCCGCGTGGGTTTTGCAAACAGCGAATCGGGTAACACAATGCCCCGCGGACAGATTAAGATATCAAAGTCAAAGTTCGCAGAGCCGCCGTTTTATTTATTTTATTTTTTTATTTTTTAGATGCGATGCACCGGGCTGTGACAAAACGGTGGGTCCCACATCTCAGAACAAGGTCCGCTCAACACTCTTACTCGAGCAAATAGAAATTTGATCTAGTCCAGGGATCGGCAAGGGAACACATAGAGAAATGTATAGTAGGGAAAATTTAAAACAAAGGGAAACAAATGGTAAAAATATTTTTAATATTAGTCAAAGGGTTATCTTGAACTTTAACTCACTGCTGTATGTTCTTTAGACTTTCTCTACCTTAAAAAAATATTAAAAAAATATTTTAAAAATATTTGATTAAGTAACTACTTTAGAAACCTTATTTTCTCTCTGTCAAGCATTAGAAACTGGGATTGTGTTGCTGCTGCTGCTGCTGTGGCTTTTGTGCCATGTCGTGTCTAATAATGCGACAGTTAATAGCATCGGACATTGTCTGCTTGACCAAACGTCTCCGCTATGGGCAATTTTAATTAGACTCTCTTTGCCTAGCGGTTTGCGTGTGGGCCGTCGTCACTGGGGCTTTTCCATCTGCACCTCCAACCGGCCACCGACTAGAGATTTTCCCTTGCTCCTCGATTTTTTACTGGACCGCAAAACTCGTTGACAGTTGTGTGGACTTGGTGTACTCTGGGGTCTCTGGTCATAAAGCGATTTTGTGTTGTGTGTGAAAGCTGAGCCACGCTTACTGCACATTTTAGTGTCAGCTTAATGGCTTTGGGCCACCTGAAGCTGAACCTGGGAAAAGTCTCTTAACCAAACTCACCTTTCTTCAGCAAACTGGAGGCATGCGGATTGCGGCTCTTTGTGCTCAGCGACGAACAGTTCCAGCGGTGCCATTGAAACTGTTTTGGGAGAGAATGCCCGGGAAATAGGGGGAATTTTTAATAGTATTTCGTATGGTAGTTCATTTAGATATGGAAAATAAGAAAAATATGCTAACAATGTGCTCTCCTTACAGGTTACAGTTTTACTTTCACTATTAGGTATATAAAGAAAATGTAAGAGAGATCGCACTGATTGATTCAAAGCATATAAGAAAGGATTGTCGAGGACTCTTCTCCCACCTGAATTTGGCATTCACGTATGGCCATATCGAGTCCTTCCAGAGCAGCTGCTGTCACATCACTGGCCTTGTAGCAAAGCTCCACTTGGTCCTTGGTCAATCCAGGCACTGAACGGCAGGTGGCACGGCCATCCGGCAAGCCATAGAGCCTGGAAAAATACAATACACAAAATTAGCAAGGAATCTAAATACAAATGGTAAATCATCTATGTTACTTTGGAAATTTTAATTCCCATTAAATTTTGATTACCGCTACCAACCGCAGATGTCCATAAAAAAAAACTCCCGAAAAAATCTCAACCCAAAACCGTAATTAACCTTGAGTGGCTGGCACAAAACCGCAGACGAAACCCCGAAAAAAAACAAACTTAACTAATTTAATTTCATTTCGTTTTCATTCCTGCCAGATGTGAAATTAAATTTGCTTTTATTTGTGTACAGATTTAATCGAAATACCCACAACGAATCCGGCTCAGACGGTAGCTAAATATAATTTGTGTTACCAAGTTTTGAGATAAATCTTTGTTTTTGTTTAATTTTTAAACGATGAATCAGTCATGGGTATGCAGCAGCCAAAAATGAATTCTAGGTGAGATTTGGAAGTACTTAACCCTAAGTAATCTATATTTTATAAATATTTAACTGAATTAATTGCATTTAAATATATTTAATGAATATTTGGGTTTAAATTATATTAAATGTAGGTCAACAGATTTGGTATTTGAAAACAATCTTTGTAATATGTATTTCAATATACAATATATTTAAAGTTTATATTTAGATACTTAGATTGAGCATTACTCTTGATCAAATATAAATCCAAAATGAATTTTCTGAGCTGTAACCAATATAATTATATACTTCAATTCTACGCTTTCATAATTGAATCTTTAAATTTTTATTTGTAATAAATTTAATCGCCTGAAATTATTGCTTGTTTCACTTATGTCACATTTACTCAAGAAGGGTTAAACAATTGCCCAAGAACTCTGAGTCGTTCCATTCCAGAGTGAACCCATTTAAGAGCAGGCCGTGGCATTCAAGGTCAACTGAGTTGAATTAAGTTGAGCTGAGGTGTTCAGATCATGAGCCAGAGATACAGATACGAGTTTTTTTCTGGAATTTATTCACGCTTGCAGAGGGTAGAGTAATTTTTCGTAGCAGTTGGGCAATATAATGAAGAATTTCTGTTAATACATAATTTCGTACAAATAAATTCTAAGCAATTAATAAATAGGAAATAGTAGTAAGAGTAGGATAATTTATGTTAAAAAGCTGATAAAAAATTATATATTTATTTAATGGTACTATAAATATTGTTGAAGCTTTTTCTTTTATGATATGTTTCTAAGTATCTTATAAAATTAGACAAAGTAGTCTGCGATAAATAAAGTAATACATGAATCTATTTAAAAATTTTAATAACAATATCTTTGCGGCAGTAATGTCTTACAAAAAAACACATATAACACCTTCAAGAGCATCTAAATATTCGACTTTCTGGCTTGATTTAATTTCTCGGCTTTTTTCCCGTGATACTATGTGAGTGAGTGCCAGTTGACGTTGAACAACTTCATCTGTTTTTAGCTGAAGTGAAGTTGGGCTAAAGTTGTTGCCACATCGCCACTTGCATCGCTTTGGAATCGCGTCGAAATCGCGTTGATCTACGACACGCAGCGTGGAATACCGGGCGTATACGTGATGCGCGTCTGGCGTCTGCAGCTCGCAATCGTTGGTAAATATATATTTTCTTAATGCCCAGACTCACGATGCGCTTCTTCTTACTCTCGGGGTTAATTGTGGCACGTCGCGTGTAGGAAAAACGAGGGAAAAACAACAACAAAAATGCCTCAAATGTAGAAACGTGCCATTTTCACACACGTCTCTTAAAGCTGCAAAGAGCGAAGATTTCGAGATTCTCATCGGTATTGCGCATCATTTTGTATGCGAGTCGCGCGCCGGCGTAACTGCAGTCGTTGATTTAGCCAAAAGATCGTCAGATGGCGCAGATCCGCACAGCAGGTTCATATAATTTACGAAATTTGTCTCTTAAAATGTTGAATTTGCAAATAAAAGTCCTGCGGGGCTGCCAACTTGCTTGGAAGTTGCGAAGTGGGGATAGCCTAAAGGTGGCTGCTTCTGATTTCTGATTTTCTTCTATTGAACATAAAGTTTTGAGTTGTTTTAAGTATAAAAGTATTTAGACATCAATAATAGTTTCCTACAAATGAAAATTAAACATTTTAATCACTTAAAATGTTATAAAGAATTTAAATCCGATTTTAATTAAGAAGAAATAGCACAGTAAAAGTTACAGTCCAATAAAACCCACTTACAGTCAAACTTGTTTACTTAAAACAAAATATTTAAATCTAATAAAAAATTCCAAATCTCAAACAATTCCCCTTATTTTATTTTATCATTTTCCCATCAAACCAACAAAACTGCTATTCACAAGAGTAAAAGAAATATTCAGCCAGGCAAAAAAAAGGAGGATAAGGAGAGAACCTGAACAACTTCTTGGCAAAATGCATTTTAATTGGCTGACGTTTCTGCGATACGAATGCGAATATGCAATGCGGCCAGACATCTCGCCAGATAAAGAATTTAAACTGATGCACATTTTGTTAACAGCTTTATAAAGCATATGGCTTTTAGTTACCATTGCCGATGCCATTTGCCGACTTCAATAAAACTGATAAGCGAACTCAAAGAGAGAAAGAGTTAAGCACTGGAAAAAACACTGATAAATTAACCAAAATAGTTATATATTGAACTTTTATATAAGAGCACAATAGCTTATTAACAAAATCAAAGTATTTAATTATCGTTTTGTATACAAAAGATTAATAATGAAATACTTTTTGCTTGAAGACTGAACATTTCAAGATATTATTATCCTAAAGGAAATAAATGTTTAGTTATAAATAATATTTTGTATTTATTTCTATTTATTTTATAAGTCAAAGTGATATTGGATTTGAAAGCTTTTTCTTTATAAGATTCTGTTTCTATTCTGTTTATAACTATCCAAACTATCCAAAAATCTAGATTTATTACGATTATTATTTAAACAAAATCGTTTATATTTTAAATATAATTTTCTTTGTGTACCCTCGAAGCGAATGAACCGCCGGTTTCAGGACTCTGAGTCATGACTTTCAAGCCAGTTCAGTTCCCAGATTCCTCGTTAGCGTATTTCACGCGATGCGATAGCAATGCAATTGATTCGCTTATAAAATTTATCGATCTCTGTTCCATCGAAAAGGAGCGAAGACATTCGCTTATCAGGACCGAGGAGTGTTGGGACCAAGATAAAAGCCGGCAACTGGCCAGCTCTAAATTTTAATTTCGATTTTTGATTTTCATAACCGCTCTGCAGTCGCCTTTCTCACGCTCGCCGGTTCGCTCGAGTTCTATTGAAATGCCATAAAAACAAAGATTGAGGCTTTAATAGGCGCCGCCACAGTCCAACTTTTTCGCCCTTATATTTTTTCTCATTTTTTTGTTATATTTTTTTGTCTGGTCTGTCAAACGGTAGCCCATGCATAAATCAAGGATTTCTGCTGTTTTCGGCTTATGCCTTCACCGAACTGAATATATATACATATATATATATATAGACAATCTTGGTTATTCAGTCTAGCTTAAGCCAGTTAGGCAAAACAATGTTTCCCACATACAAAACAGAGATAGCCGGGAGATTGAAGCATTTCAGACGGGGCAGATAACTTCCCTGGTGGAGACATTCCTGAACAACAGCAGAGTCGGTTTTTGAAGGGGGAAAAATCGGTTTTAAAAGGGGCGAAACGGGGGGAGGGGATTGAATTCGGGCGACCACAGCAACAGCTAGGAATGTCTTTGATCTGATCCGTTCGTACAGAATGATCCGGCAGAAAAATATTTCATTTCCATACCACAGCGAGAGAGCGTTTTGGTAATTAAATCGAATTATCGCATATTTTAAAATGCTTGAGAGGTTGCTTAAAAATAACTTGGGAGTTTTAACATTGAAGGACGTCGTAATATGGGTGGTTTTGTTTACAAAACTTGAGAAAAGTGATTTATTTTATTAATAGAAAAAAATATAATAAAAATAACAAAGTTTTAAACCTCTAGAAGACGGTTATTTAATTAATAGATTTTATTTCTTCGCTTATCGAGTTCAAGTGCTATTAAGTCTTAAATAATCCAACAGAACACTGCCTAGAAAAATTAATACAAATAATAATACTTCTAGATTATAATAACAGTCTATTTGGAGCTGCCAACTTGTTTGTTGTTTCCTGTTAAATCTTCCAATTCTAGATTCTTAACAGAGATTATCGAGGATCGCTAAGTTATTTTTAGATACATCTTAAGGCAGAAATTTGAACCTATTTTATATAACTTAAAAGAATTTTGTAAGCCAGCAAATCCCTGAAACCCCCGCATTGATTTTGCCACATAATAAAATTATGCTGACTGGCAAATAAGCAGCTTCTGGCTCATAAATAAATGCACTTCTGGTTTGCAACTTAAAGAACCCTTGAACGTGTGAAATCTGCTGCAGTGCTCTATCCTTCGCAGGTGTGTGTTGTGGGTGTGCACCCAATTAAGCTGCAAACTGCAGAATTTGCGAGACCCGGAGGCGTGGCACTCTGGCAATTCATTTGCATTTCAAACATTTGCATGGAGCACAACCACAACAGCATCACAACCATCACATGCACATGGAAATGCATCCTGCATCCGTGTGTGTGTGTGTGTGTGTGTGCCTCATTATGCGTTGCAATTATGACGTTGCACCTACAAGGATGACGACAAGAACAACAAGAGCAACGAGAATGCCAGCGAATTGCAAGCAGAGCTTAAAAAAAAGTATGTTGACAACCCCATGAAACGGGACAGAAAAAAATATTAGTGTAAATTCCATAGTCGAAGCGGGGAAATACTCTTCATTTTGTATAATTTATAATATATATAATATATAGGAAATATATAGAAATATACATTAAAAACATTGCTAACTTAAAATGGTATTGGTAGAACCAATTGGCAGACCAAAATTTTAAGCTTGTCAATATATATTTTAAGTATATATTTTATTATGAAATACACTGACAATCCAAAAGCTGAAAAGGAGACATAAAGGGTATATCTCTACTCTTTTTGGTTTGTTTTATAAGATAGATTATAGAGTTCCTAGTATATATTTTTCAGTACAAAAATCTGATAATAGTTTAAAGTACCCCCCGTTAGGGTATGACAACAACGAGAGTAACGAGATTAACAAGCTGCAACTACAAGGCGAGGCAACCAGTCAGGCAAGGCGAAGTAATGCAACTAGCATCCATCCACTGCTCCTTCCTGGGCTGCCTGCTCCAACGCTCCCCAGCTTCCCAGTTCCCCAGCTCCGCCTCAGTGCGCACACACCGAGGAAAATCCCGAGTTGGACCAGAAGACGCGGATTGACAAGCGACCCAGGCGCATTATAAAACTTGAGTACCGGGGACCACCCTGCAATTGGAATCAGCACAATTGTGTGTGTGCCTGTGTACAGGCCCCCATGGTTCTTCGGTCGCTGCAGAAACAAGAGACAGACTCCAATCCCAGCTGCTCCAATCATCCCACAGCGGATGATGATGAGGAACGGCCACGGGAGCCGTTGGCAATTTTATTTGCGTCAAGCTGAGGCTGGGCCTTTCATAAAATGGCGTTCGTTTTGTGTGGCCCTGGGGTCTAACATGTAAGTTGCCATTTTTTATTTTATTTGGTTGAAATGGTAGTGGAAAAGAATTTCTTAATGTTATTGAATTTGTATAAAACCAACAGATTTTATAAGGTAAATCTAGGTATTGAATTTATAAATGTTGTTAATTTAAACAGTTGATTTTAAGAGTGTGAAAAGGTAGCTTAACAAGCTTGTAACATGCTAGTAATTATGTGTCATTTGTACTTCTTAGTTATCCAAAGAATTTTTAAGTTGTTGAAAAGTGAGGATGGAAGAAAGGATTTTTATTTGAAATGTATTAATTGAAATTTATAAATGTTATTGAATTTAACGTTTGATTTTAATAATATTCCAAGAAAGATTAATAAACCAATAGTAAATAAAGAATATGTCAGTAGCCATAAGTATATATTTTCTTGAAATAGATCTCCAAGAGTTATTTAAATTGTTGTATGGTAAAAAGTTAGGATATTTTCAATTCAACACAAGTTAATTTAAATTTATATATTTTGATTTTAATTTAATAAAGATCTTGGTCTCGAGCTTGCCAAATTATTATTAGACATAGGTCGCTGCCTCAAATACTTTTATTATTAAATTAAAATCTAATATTCAAGATTTGTATATTGAAGATTTTAATATTGTTAAAATAAGTATGGTTGCATTTTAGAAATTGTACAACAAATTGTTAAAATTTTCTTCTTTCAATAAAACAACAATTTAAAAAATTTTAGTACTTGTGCAACTTTTAAGGAAATGTTTTAAATGTTATTAAATTAAACGCATGATTTTGACCATATCCCAAGGCTACCTTATTTAATGGGTTGATCGAGAAAATTGGTTTAAATTTCAAAATTAAATAACTTAATTAAACAACTCCCAAAAAAACCATGCGTGAAGGTGAAAATGGGCCACCGCAACAATCTCCTGTTAATCGGACACAATTAGGTTAGCTTAATTTCTTCCCAGGCCCTATCGCTAGATCAATAATTAATTATGCCAACACCTCAGACTGACAGCTGCTGTTTCTCTCCGCTCAGCCTACTGGCGATTGATTAATCTGTTGTCGCTGCAGCAACAGCAGCAACAATATTAACCCAAGCTGCTGTTGTTGCTTGTCGTTTAATTAATTAAGTCGCCAGCAGCAACAACAAGCGGCATATAACACCGGGGTAATGAGCCCGTTTCAAGTCTTGGAGCAATTTGTTGACAGGCTATTTACGCTGCCGAGTGTTTTGCTTTACATACTCGCAAATGGTGATGGATTCGGTCTTAGGATTGAATAGACGACGTGTGGGACTCACCAGCGTGTGCAGCAGGCCAAGATAATCACAACAATTAAATGCAAATTGCAATGGCTCGATGTTGTTGCCGGTGTGGCAGCAACCAGGTTGCCGTTGCTGCCGCTTCCTGCTTCTTGTTGCTGCTGCTGCTGTTGCTGTTGCTTGTGGCCTTTTGATGTTGCTTGCCACGCAGTCATCGCTCGGCTTTGATTTGCATAAATTTTCATACAATTGGAGCCAAATGTTTAATTGCACTGCATTTTCGTTAATCGATTTATCACTCGACACTGGCACTGTGGTTATGGTCGTTGAGCGGCTGTTGAATTCGTCTGCAGAGGCCAGTCATCAGGAAACATTTTGTAGGGCACATTTGAAATATAATTAGCAGACGTTCCCAGTCCGTTTTTTATTGAGGTTTCACATTTCGAAATGAAGTGTTTTTTATCTAAATTATTTTATATAATTTACATGTAAAAATATCTTTACATTGAGTTTATTAAGAAGGTTTTCGAGTTTATGCAAGTTATTTGTGGCTGCCAAAAGTTATGTAAATGGATTATCTTTTTAATGCACTTAATACACTTTTAAAATTATTTCTTTATTAAATTTCTTTATGGTTAATTGATTATAGAACACATTATGTTAAATTCACACTCAGTTTATTCATATCGTTGTATTAATTATTTATAAGTTTCTTATTGTTTTACATAAAATTTCTTTTCAATAGACAAATTTTATGTGCCTTCAGTTACGTTTTAATTATTTTATTCTTTTTACTTTTATTGATTGCACAATTTTCCACAACTTTATTATTTTCTCATATAACAAAAGCTAATAACTGACTGACCATTCGACGATCTGCAATGGCTCTGGCTTTCAACTTTGCAGCTCAACTCCTTGGCTACTGGCTGGCTAGCAAAAATCGTTTTCTTGTAATGTTTGTCGTTATATTTTGTTATTTTTCTTTATTATTCCCATTTACAATCGCTTTTTGCTGGAGACTGGGCTTGTCCGATTGGTCTGTAATACAAGTTTCAGATTCTTGTAGGTTTTTGGCCTGAACTCTCGATTTTCGCTCTCTGCTTCTGTTTCTGGGTGGCTTTTGCCCACTTTGAATCGATTCGATTTGCTGGTTTTGTTAGGAAAGTTATGGCTTTAGAATGGCGATCATAAATTTGAAAAAATACATTTAATATTTTTAATTATTAGATCAATTTGAAATTTGAGTAAAAACGGAACGAATTTACTGTAAATAGTAAATAATGTTTCGAATAAGGGTTGAAGAATATAGAAAGGAAAACCAGCCAAGATTGTTCTATATGCTTTATAAACTATTTAAGAGGTTTTTAAATTATTTCATGTTTATTATTTTTCTTAATAAAGTCCACTTCCTTAATTTAAATATTTATATTTAAAAAGGATTTTTGCAGCAACAAGCTTTTATTCTAATGAAATCAGATTTCTTTTACATGTAATTCAAATTACATTTTTGGCTCAAGAAACATTCTTTTGAATCATTTTTTTTCGGTAAATGCAATAAAAATTTAATATTTGGTTCAAGAACAATTCTTTAGAAATGTTGTAGTGATCTTTTGTATTGTTTTTATAGCTTTTAGATTTTTAATAAATCCATAAATATTATCTTAACTTAACTTAACTTATTTGAAATATTATTGAAAATTGGTTAATTAATATATTTTAATTTTAAGTATGTATAAACTTTCTTGGGAAAATTTGTATAGTTCTTTTGTATTGCTTCCTTAGTAGATTTTATTTTAAAGTCCATAAGTCTTGTCATAAATTTACTTAGTTATATTATTATTAAAAGTTTTATGATTCATTATTATTTTTATTTTAATTATTTATATAACTTGTTTCACACTTGTATTTAAATATTTTATTATGGCAATAGATTAGTATTTTATTTGAGACTATGTTATTTGTAGCACGGAAGACACAGGACACGAACGTCCTGCCAGTGAAGCGAGCCGCGCGACTATGAGACGAGAGCCGAGCTCGCCAGCCTCTAAATGCAAATTAAAATTGAAATATTTGAAACAGAGACTGGGCTTCGTTGTTATCGCCATCATCATCATCATGTCGTCGTCGTCGGTTGTACTCGTTGTCCTCGCATCGCATCGTCCTCGTCCTCGTCGTAGTCGTCGTCCTGTGCGTGTTATCCTGGGAATTACGCTTTCATGGGAGTGGGATCTCTTTCGCCAGGAGGTGGATGTGGAATGTGCGCGTGCCTTTCCCATTTGGAGGGTGAATCCCAGAGACGATTTCTGGCTCAGCGACTGGCTGGCTGGCGAAAGTACAAAATACATCAAAAGGATGCAAACACCAACAAACATACAGGACATGCAGAGTATATTGAGGCAGGGCTGCTCATTCTGGTTGCAGTTATAGCAGGCGGCAGCATTTATCGCATGCGAGAGAATGCCATTGTTATCCTTTCGATTTATGGTCCAATTAACACATTATAAGTGCTTATAATAAAAGCATTTAAATACTCATTAAAATCTTATTAAATTCGTAGACAAATTTATAACAGAATTCCTCAAATTAAATTTAAAGTTAACATATTTTTATTGCATTTAATTGATTTAAGATTTAAACCCTTGCGGCTTGGCCTCTCTTGACACCTGACTGCCTGTCGTCTGGCAGTCTTTAAAGACTGATTAGGCTCTCTGCCTGCTTTGTCTTGTCTTGTTGTTGTTGTTGTTTGTGGCAAGGACACACGACCGAGTGCCACTTCTGTTGAACATCAAAGGGTTAACAACAAAAGTGAAACTGGTGCAGTGTCGCCATCCTCACTCGGTCTTCCTCATTCTCTTGGCATTGTTGTCCTGTCCTGTCAAGGACTCCAATTATTGCAATTTTCAGTCCTTTGTTGTTGTTGGTCTTTGCCTTTGAAATATGCTAATTTATATATATACTGGAGGCGGCAAAAAACAAAGGACCCGTCAATTGATTCACGTCTGCTTCCTTAGTTAGTTCAAGAGGTTAAATGTGGGGTTTGTTTTTTTTAGGCTGAGCGTTGCAGGAAGCAATGGAAAATATGGGTCGTTTAGGCGGGGCGGCTTTTCTTCTTTTATTTTCATTTCAACCGCATATGGGTGTGTGTGTGAACTTAACCCTCTTTGACTTTTCACTTGCTACTTGTTACACTTCAAAGAGATTTCCTGCACGAGCTGAAGGAACACTTGTTGCCAGCTGTCCTTCAATGCAATATGGTTTGCATTTTATGATACGGAAGCTTTAAGAAGGATTTTTGTTTAGGGAATTTATAAGCTATCCATCAATCAATCGATTAATGGAAGGTCATGTCCCATTAAAAGTTATTTAATTTTTGTTTGAAATTTATAAGCTTTCTCTATCCATCAATCAGCTAAATCTATTAATTAAAGTTCATGTCTCAATATTTATTTATTGTTCTGAACGATCATAAATCGTCTGACAAATTAAGTGCAATTATGTCAATTGTGAAAATTGTTACAATCATATAAGGTTATTTATTAAATGAGTTCTGTCAATTAGCTAAGTTTTTTTTCACGTTAATAAATTAATTTTTTCATGTAGAAAGTTATATATAATGATCTAGCTTTTGGTTTTTTAAATAACATAACATACTTTTAGTTAGACAATCTTCTTTTATAATTTAAAATATATTTATTTTATTTTTATTATGCAAGAAGTCTTAAGAGTCACCTTTTCTTGAAAAAGAGTTATAGTAACTTTATTTACTCATTTTTCCCCTCTTCAATGGAAATTCCTTTGCCAATTACTTGTGCACAATGTTAATGTTAAAGCTCATTAAAAATTATCCGTTAGCAGCTCCATGCAATGCATCTCTCTCCCTTTTACCCAAACCGCAGCAAAACCACAAAATAAACGAAACAAAAAAAAGTACGGCATTTGACCATCACATTTACCGCATACAATTGCCATGAATCACCATCACCTGGCGGTGGCTTCCACTCACGGCTCAGCCTTTGCCTCCGGCTAGCGGAGAGGAACATCCATCAATGTGCCGTTGACATTTGCTTGGACCGCTGACAAGAATTGTCACAATAAACAATACAACCACGACGACAACAAGAACAATGTTTGCTGGAAACGAGGAGGACACGTGACGTGATCAGGAATGGAATCAGGAGCAGGAGCAGAAGCAGGAGCAGGAGTTGGAATCAGCCTGATGATTAGTTCGGTAAGTGGCAGCTTTTTTTGGGATGATGATGAGGGGCGCATAAATTACGGAAAGGATTAACCAACCAGACTCAGACAGCTGAGGGACCAAAAGGGGTAGGTAAAAAGGTATATCATTGTTTTTGCCCATGTTCAGTGAACTGTAAGGGATTCCACCGGAACAAGAAGGAATCTGGATGGGGTTTCAGATACAGAGAGAGGGAATAATGCTCCGCATTATGTTAAAATTACAATCAGATCAATTTCAAAGATATCAACATGAGTATTTGGGCCAAGGGGCAAGTGTTGATGGAATTCCAGAGAGGGGTGGCTTTGTTAATGAATTTTTTCACAAGGGAAATTTAAATAATGAAAATAGTACTAGTATAATGATCTTTAATTAAGAGACTTTAAGCTAATAATTAATCTCTATTAATTCATTTAATTATTAACAAAGCCTAAGGAAATGATAAATACTAACCAATAAATCCTTTAAAATGCAACCATCACGACCAAAGAAAACCCTCAGTCTGAATGCCTTAAAAAGGCCAATCCCCTCCACAAAACAATACCAAGATTTTCCATTGATTGGATTTCTTGAAAATGTACAGGTGTGCCCTCGCCAAAGTTCAAAACAATTTGTGCTCATTAAAAAGGAAAAATTCATGAAAAATTCATCATAATGATGTAGCCCAGGGTTACCAAAAAAAAATACAAGCTACCATAATTTAGTTAATTTTCGTTTTGGTTCGGTTTTTGCTTAGCTGCCATTTTGTGGTCGATTTTGTTTTTTGTTTTCTTTTAATTAACTCGAAATGATGGCGCGTTCATAAATCCTCACAAAAATCTGACAAAATGACGCAAATTTTCGCGTCGAAGAAATATGTGCATCTTCACGATTCGAAGTAAGAAATAAAAATAAAAATTAAGCGAAAATTAATCGAAGTAATTTCAAGAGGCAGAGTCAAGCAGCCAGTTTGCTTCTGGCCCTCAAAATCGGGCGACATTG